CACTTCCCTAAATTTGAAATATGCTGCCATTTGTTAAAATGTGTTAGTTTTGTTATGTATGATATGTCCTCCTCTGCACAAAAGAAACAAATATGAACTTAACTCTTCAAGTAATTTTTGCAGTTACAATATTACCTGATTTATTTCTCCTAACTCAGACTATAAAGGAATGGACAGTTTCTCAGAATATGTAAATGCGTACCCTCAAGCTATCAGGCCCCATTAGATTCAGAGCCGCAGTCTCCTGAATTTAAGTTTAATGCAGGTAACACTGAAGATTGAAGGGATAAGTTTGAAATCATTTAACTATTTTGAGTTCTGAAAGAGTGATCTCACAGATGTTGGTAGTTTGTTGGAGTCAATTTTTCTACTTGCTGCTGTATACTGTGCTCATCTTGGAAAGATTCTATCTAGTTTTGTTATTTGTTGTGTAATAGGCCATCTTTTGTGTAAACTCTCAGAAGTCCTGTAAACTACTGAATAGATAGACGCTGGAGGGGAAGTTGAAGATCTCTACTGTGCTTTCCCTGCATAATGACTACGCAGACCCCGAGACACGGTCAAATATGAAGAAAAGAAGAACCAGTACCTCCAGGAGAAGACTGTTCCTGAGCCAGACAGCCTGGGAAACCTTTCTTAGCTGTGACCTATACAATCTGGTTAGAACCTACCTCATAGTGTTAGTACCATGGTGTTTAATCATGATGCCATACCTAACTGAACTTGCACACACTGAAGATCCCTTGTCGGCCAATCCCTTGACCTTATTAGAAGGATATCGGTCTTTTGCACTCAACTACAAGCTCTAGGAGGGCAGGACCACTCTTCTTTAGCTCATTTTGGATGGCAGGGTCAGTTTAAGGTACTCGGTCAGGGCCGTTTAAACATTTATTGAATGAATGAAGGCAGATTTAAAAACAGAAATTCTAAATGGTGCAATAATATCTGTGGATTCTAAGATCTTACTAAGTAGAAGATGGGAAACATTACTGAGATACAAAGTTGGGTAGGGACAAGGAAAAGCAAAAGCATGTGTCTTTGTGTGTCAGCAGCGTCCATACCTACTCCCAGTTCCCATGCAGACCTGCTACCTGGCCTAGCTCCTTCCATACACAGCAAGCAAGCGAGCGGGAATGATGCTGTAGATATGGTCTTGCTGCTATATCCTGGTCTCTAATATCCATGGCATAAGTTATGAGTCCCTCAGTTCTCCCACGCTGTAGTCCTTCTGTGGCTTAGTCTCACTTCCTGACCATGATCCAATTCTCCTCGGGGCCTTGTGGCCTGTATCCCCCTAGTGGGCCTTGTTCCACACACTTCTCAGAAACGCCTAATTCTGAGTACTCCATTACACCACCTGCGCATCCTGCTGTGTCTCCACCAGACCACAGACCTTGCTTAGACCCTGGGTGTTAGATTGTGGGTCCCTCACCTGTTGCAGTCACTGTCAGTAGCCTGAGGCCTACCCATCCACCCCCTTCTCATCCTCCCCATTGCCTACACCCCACAAGCAACTGCAAATGTAAAAGGCCACACCCATTCCTGAAACAGTAGTACTTTTTCTAAAATCTGCATCCTGTTGAAAACTTTTACCCTTTTCACAATTTTTTCCCTGAGTGTCAATTTTAATACAAGCAAAGGCAATCTTCAGTCTATATAAATGTATTTTGTTGGTGAGGTACAGGTTTATTTTATTAAGCCAGTATGTAATATTGTGAGAAAGCACAGACAAAGTCTTGGCATTCACTTGGTAGAATTCTGCAAATACCTATTGGTGTCCCTAGCTTTTCTAACTTTTCTCTTGAAGACATCTAGACAAAAGCATCTGTTTAGGTCTCAGGTTCCGGGTTCTGGTAGAATACAAGTTAAGGAACAATACTTGTTGCCTCTTTCCTAGCATGCATGAATGATGGGTGTAAATTTGCATCATGAGAAAGCGAATAAAAGACGATACCCTAAGGTAGCCTGAGAGACAGAAAAAAACAGCCTGGGACCAGCATGGCATCTGTGTGCAGTTGTAAGAGTGAGGGTCCCTTGCTATCGTGATGACTCACTTGCATGACACAAATACCAACCTGCAAACACTGGGGAAACAAAAGTACTCAATCTCTAATGCTTCACCATATAAAATTTGCTCCCAGTGTGGGATAAGATCATATCCTCCCTCAAAAAAAAAAGAAACCCACTACATTTCTAAGAACGTTCCTCCAGAAAAAAAATGGAACTGAAAACCCCTTTTAAAAAAATTGATCTGGGCCCTAGAAAACAGTGGGGCTTTTCTTTAATTTACCTAAGACGTTAAAATAAAAATCTATGATTCTGTATCAGAAATATGCATAAAATGTCAAACTAGAGGGCAGGGATACAAAACTAGAGAGTTTTTCTCAACAATATTATATGTACGCCATTTGATTATGAGTGGGCAACATGGGGAAGTGAACCTTTGGACAGTGAAATTGATGCTATTTTTTGCCACTAGTCTGGGAGCTTTCTAAAATGTCACATCAATAATTTAGTTGCTTTGCCAGGAATCAGTGCATGTGGTTAGTATGTGTGTTTTAAAAAAAATTAATAGCCTTTATTTTTAGAACAGATTTAGATTACCAAGAAAAAAAAATAAGCAGATAGTACAGAGAATTCCCATCAACCCTCTACCCAGTGTACAGTTCCCCTATCATTACAGCTTGCATTAGTGTGATATATTTGTTACAATTAATAAGCCAGTAGTGATACATTATTATTAACTAAAGTCTATGCTTTGTGCTGAAGTTTCATAATAGTTGTAAGGTTCTATGGGTTTTGACAAATGTAATATCATATACCCACAGTTAATGTATCATACAGAATACCTTCACTACCCTAAGAACTTGTGTTTTACCTATTTATCTCTACTTGCCTCCCTCTAAGCCCCTGGACACCACTGATCTTGTTTTACTGCTTCTGTAATATTGGTTTTTCCAGAATGTGTTCATACTGGAATCATCCAGTATGTAGCCTGTTCTGAATGGCTTCTATCCTTCAGCAATACGCTTTTAAATTTTCTCCATGTTTTTACATGTCTCAATGGTTTATTTCTTTTTATAACTAAAAAATATTCCATTGTATGTGTGAATACAGTTTGTTCATCTATTGAAGGACATATTAGCTGCTTCCAGTTTTTTAGTAATTATGGATAAAGCTACTACAAATATTTGTAAGTGTTTGGGCAGATGTGCTTTTAACTCAATTGGCTCAATAGATCTTTTTTTTTTTTTTGGTTTTTCTCCAGTACCGGGAATCGAACTCTCGACCTTGCGCTTGCCAGGCAGGCGCTTTGCCGCTGAGCTAAATCCCCAGCCCGGCTCAATAGATCTTAAAGTGTGATTGCTGGCTAGTATAGTATTGCTGGCTAGGAAAGTATGTTTAGCTTTGTAAGAAACTGCCAAACCATCTTTGAAAGCCATTTTACCATTTTGCACCTTACCAGCAATGAGTGAGGGTTTCTATTGCTCCACGTCCTTGGCAACACTTGGTATTATCACATCTTCAGGTTTTGGCAATTCTACTCTCTGTGTAGTGATATCATATTGTTTTAATTTGCAGTTCTCTAGGGTATGATGCTGACCTTTTTCATGTTTATTTGCCACCTGTATACTTTTTGATGAGGTAGATGTTCAGATCTTTGGCCTTCTAAGAATTGTGCTGTTCTCACGTCTTTGATTCTAAGAGGTCTTTGCATATTTTGGATAGCAGCTCCTTTATCAGTCTCTTTTGCAAGCATTTTTTCCCAGTCTGTGGCTTGCTTCCTCATTCTTTTACAGTTAACAGTTTTATCGCATTCGTAAAAGGCAAATTTGTTGTGAATGTCTTCTGGGTGCTCACTCTCAGGTGATATCTCTCCCTCTCAGGTGATATCACTGAGCTGTGGACCCTTCGGTGTTTATTAGGAGAGAAGAGTTGGGTCCTAGGGAGTATGGATGGCTACTTTATTTGAGCTTGTGCAGCAGGGGCCCTGGGCTGCATCACTACTACATTGAGAACAGTTCAGGAATTCTGTTTATAGTAACATCCTGTTGCCCTGGCGTGGATTATACTCTGCCTACAGTATTAATTCATGCATCCAAGTACATAAGAGGTCATCACTTTCCTTATTTCCTTTTAGTTCAACCAAATCTCACCCATGAGCCAGATGCACAGAATACTTCATCTTATCGTAGAGGGTGTTCCCTTTCTCTCCTGTAGCTAGAATTCCAAGCTAGAATTCAAGTTCACCTGGTGCCTGAGAAACCATACAAGGGCCTCAACTGCCTAGTCGGTGCTGATTGCCAGTGGTTCCCTCACTACCTGAGACCCTGTAAAGTCTAGCAGCTCCCTGTCCCCGTGCCACAGTGTGGACTGAGACCGGCCTCCTGACCTGTAGGCCCTGCCTTGCTGGAGTGAGCCAGCACCTCCTGGAGTGATCTGTTACCCACCCCTCAGAGAGAACTGAGGGAGGGGAACTTGGCTTTCCACTGCTCACAGGACCCAAAACTTTCTCTGCTGTCCCCCTTCCCCTTGCATCTCAAAAAGAGGAAGAGTTAAAAATACAGGACCCTTGTATCATCTCTTCCATGAGTTTTCACAAATGTTAAGAAGAGCCTTTGACTTTGGCTCTCTTCTGCACTTTTTCATCTCTGTATCAAGAAAGTTTAGAAAACAAACACTAATGAACATTTCACTAAATAATGCTGCTATCATTTGTGGAAACAACTTCATCCTATATTGGAACCATCACTTGCACTGCCACCTAGAGTAATTTAGGCCCACAGAAACACAGGAAGTCAGGAATACACAGCAACTGACGTATGGCTCAAATGGGAAATTTTAGCTAAGTATGTGGATATTTCTAATTTCTTGCTTTGCCACACAGAGTAGATCCAGAGAAGGATCTCTTGGGCACTGGTTGAGTGGTCAGGAAGATATCACCCTCCACCTGCCCACAGTCACTGTGGCTTCTCCCCTTCCCGCTGCTTTCCTTGCAGCCTGGGCCTCAGACCTGAGGACATCCGGGGATGCAGCAGTTGAGGAAGCAGGCCCACACCGAAAGCAGCTTTCTGAGGTTACCAGCAACTTCCTCCTCACCAAGCGCAAGGACCTGATTTTCATTCTGCTCAACCTCCCTTCCTTCACTGTGGCACCTTGTCAGCCCTTGGCTTTGATGACATGGACGGGGCAGAGGCCTTCTGATTGGCTGAACGCTGGCCACCCGAAACACTGACACAAACAAGACAGTGTATAGGGCGGTGATCTGACTTGTGTGAAAAAAACCATGGCCAGCCAACCTCCTGTAAGTGTTGTAAGGTCGGTGCGATCTCTGACTCACTGATGAAAGTCATCTCTATGCTGCATGTTCCAAGCTGTCGCTGCCAGCCCTCTGTGCTAGGAGGTAGGTTGACTCCCTCAGGGACAGAGGGGACGGATGGTGGGAGAACCTCCACGGATTAGGGTCCTAGAGACCACAGCCAGGAGGAGTAGTCTCAGACACTGAGAATATTTAGCTGAGGGGAAATGTATAATATATGCTTTAGGGTATTTGGACAGTTTTATATTAAAAGATGTAAGAATATATTCTGATAATCTTAGCAAACAGGACAGCACCAACTATATGGTGCTTGTGTGTCTGGGAAGAAAGGAGTGATAGATCTATGATGATTTTTTTAAAAATTTGTCTATCTTTTTTTAAATAAGATAGTCAGTTTTTAGTATGAGAGGTGAGAGAACAAAGGCTAGAGATGAATCTAGCAGAGATGACATTGAGGAGTCCTTGCAGAGACTGGAATGATGGCTTCTGAAATCCCTTACAGCTGTACAACTCTAAATCACAGAGACTCCTGTGACACCGCAGATCCCTTATTTCTGGTGCCTGCCTCACCCCTCGTCCCCCACCCACCTTCACTTCCTGTAACAGACTTCTATGTTACAGCACTGGAGGACGCTGCTCTAAGCAGGAACTGGAGTACAAGAGAGAACGTACATGGAAAGGGGAAAACAAGAACACAACTGTTTAAAAGGAAAATACCTTCTATGTTCCAAGATTTGTGCCAGGTCTCATATCTATGTTGTCCTATTTACCTCTCAGGGCAAGACTCTGAGTGGTTTATTACCATATTTCTTCTATGAGGAATCCCAGTCTCAGGGAGGTCAACTTCCCCAGGAACACTAAGTCATAGTAGTGGAGGCAGGATATGAACACAGGTATCTGTGATTCCCAAACCCAGTTTGTTGTGTTATTTTTACTCACCTTTTATTTATGGCAGAGAATACCACTTTCTCAATTTTTTTAGCATTAAGTTAAAGATTTAAAATAAATTTTCATTAAGGGAAAAATGCTAGATGATAGTAGAGATTTGATATAAAGATGAAGTAATACTAGTAGCTATAATGCCTGGTTTGGGAAATACTGCTTCAAATATTCTGACATCAGTTTTTCCAGTTTAGCCTGACTACAAAATACAAAGAAAAAGAGGACTCTGGAAAATTAAGCGAAATATGTATGAATTCTCTTGTGCTCTGTTAGGTGGGTAACCTCATGTGTTACGATAGGAAAATCACATAGATCTTTTCAAATAAAAGAAGGTTGTGATTGTAAAATCCAGAGGAAAACCCCAGGTACAGCCTATCCGAATAAAGGATAAAGTTTCCAAGATATGCACACAGAGTGGCCGAGGGGAAGTGACCCAGTGAGTCAGGACCAGGCTGTGGGCCAGGCAAGGGGTTTACAGGCCTGTTTGGGAAGAACTATCACCGTCCATTTAGTGATAGGAGGAAGATCTTTGCGGTAGCGTCAAAATAAGAAATGGGCAAGACTCAAAAGAAAATAGGAAAGTAACCATGACACCTGGATAGCTGCATAGCAGACTCAGCACCAGATGATTTACAAGTAAGAGCTCACTTGTCTTCCCCATCAGCACAGCCAGGAAAGCTATTACTAGTCACAGTTCATAGGGGAGAAAGCAGAGACTCTACGATGGCCAACAACTTGCCCAGGGGCCAGTGATCAAGTCACGGTTTGACATAGGGCCACCAGTTCCCAGCCCACGATCCTTCCCCCGCACCGCATGCCTTTCTTGGGTTAGCCTTCTCAACCCCGTAACAACAACTTTCACTTTCTCACTTTTCATATCTCTAGCCCTGTAGGCCACAGCCAGCCTCTGAGAAAGCAAGGGGAACGCTCACTGGGGCTGCCTCTGTCCTCCTGGGCTCTAGTGCTGCAGCCCTTAGAGGCACATACGTGCCCCCATGTCCACCACTGCACAGAGGGCTTTGTAGTGCCCGACTGGGCCCAAAAAAGGAACATTAGGCCTGGGGCAGGAATCTATATATATGTATATGTATAATACATGCATATGGTGCTCATCGCATCTCAAACACTAGGTTTAGAAAAATCTACAGGGCATTCATACACCTTTCCCACTTCTGCTCATGACTTGCCCCCAAATGCAAAAGTACCACCCACTTCCAGGAATAGTGGAAGAAACTTTCTCCATTCCTACAGTTAGGAGAGATGAAATTATGACAGTGGGGACCATACAGGTGAATTCGTTTCCAGCAGGATCCTTGGAGAGGTCCTTAATGAATGCTTTGGCTGTGCTCTCTCTGATTGAGGTCTGGCTTCTGCCTCCCTGGGGGCCACATTAAGTGCCAGCACATGGCTGCTCCATAAACAGTGGCTAAGTGGAGCTGGCTTTGTATCCATGGACTTTAAGGATTGCACTCCCAGATCTCTGCGACTCCGCCAGGAAAGGTGCCTGTTGTATTTGTGGACAGGGCTGTCTTTGGGGGTTTCCTCAGGGCTTTACACTAGCTCACTGTCCGAGGGTGCGCTTGTAGTCATTCTCATCAGTGGAAATGCCCACCTGCCAGTAGAAGTTATCTGGAACCGCGAAAGAACACTACCCCCATCTGCGGTGTTGCTTCTGCCTAGTCAGTTCCCCTTTCTGTCTTTGAGCCTCGGTCCTGAGATTATTTCTCACTTTATGTGGAGTCAGAAGGCCCGGGGAGCTGGCAAAGGCTCCTTTTCGTTTCTTCTTAACCCCTTGCTCTTGTGTTCCTCTGGAATGCTGCTGTGCTTGTGTGTCTGGTCTCCAGGAGCTGTGGAGGATGGGCACTGGTGACAGGTATGTCCTTATGAAGCCCATAATCTGGGAGAGGGGTTCAAGAGGAGCTGTATCTGGGGAAGATGTGCAGAGGTGGGGCTGACGGCTGGCAAGGAGAGGAGAGGGCAAGGTACATGCTTGAAACCTTTGACCACCAGGCATGACTCACAGACTATGTGCCGGAAGTGGGATATTACAAAAATTAAGCTTTTCTGGTCAGATCCCTGTGTCTGCTTGAGTGAACCAGGAGAGAGGACAGGCAGGAAATAGAAAATGCCACTTACCAAATAGCTGGCAGCTGCTCTTGGCCTTGGGGTGCTGGAGGCTCCTTGCAGCCCTGCTCTAGAAGTTGTCCAAGGATATTGGCCCTGCCTGAGCCCCAGTATGAGTGGAAAATCTAGAGAAGGGAGGCAATATCCATGACTTCTCTGCGGTGGTTCTGCTTTTTCTGTTTGGCTTTCCTTCTCTGGCACCTTTTCCTGTGATTTCTTCCCACCCAACTGCCCCGTCCCTACATTAGAGACTAATTGCTCATTTAGAAAGAAATATTCTTAGGTCCAAAAAGAGCCCAGGCGGTGGTTTAACATGAACCCCACACTCTGAACACATTTGCATTTGCAAATAGGCCTAAAATATTGCCTCTCTTAATAGTAAGGCAGGTTTTGGAGAGACAGGTGAAAATAATTTTTGGCCAAGGGAACTTCCCACTCCTCTCATATTGTAATACTAAGGAGATAGCTTGCTCCTCTTACAAATAACTTCAATCTTGGGACTAAGTCTCTGGACTAAAATGAGTGTATTTATGTGTTCACATTTGCAATTCTAATTATGTGTGCTGTTTGCCTCTACAGATATCATTAATGTTATTTATGTGAGCTAACTGTATAAAGGAAGCTTTTATGAATCTCTGTTCATTCATGTATTCAGGATATGTTTGTTGAAGGCTTACTATGTCCTGGGTACTGCATTTTGAATAAGGAGCATAAAAGACATAAAGGAAAGCTGTACTCTTGAAGCTTCTATTTTACCAGTAGGAAAATTATGCTAGTTATGTAATCACATTAACATGACTTTTGATAACAGTACTTGAAAGGAAAGGAGATAGTTCTATGTGACTATGCTGACTGGTTAGTTGCTATGTCTTTGTTTTTGATATTTTGAACATTCTATAATCCCCGAACACTGGATGCCCCTTCCTGGGTGGAGATGAAGACAGGATTTATGAAATTGAGCTAGGGTGAGAAGGAAAAAAACCATGAAAGATGAAAAGATGATTCTTTAGGAGAAAAATCAAGGTTCAAACACCATGTTCCAAAAATCAGGTCGATATAGGGCTTGAGGTTCGGTATCTGTGGGCCCGGAGATTGAGGCTGTGAGGTCCTAGAAGAAGAGCAAAGTCATGTCACAAATGTGATTCTTTTCTGAGTTCCTGTCCTATTAATGCAAATTAACTTGAATTTAATTCCTAATGGCAAATAGCAAGCAACAAAAACAACCCCATTTTTACCCCGCAGCCAACATTTTCATTTCAACTTGGGCTTTCAAAAAAAAATACCTTGACCCAAAGGATGAGTAATGTGGGAATTTCAAACTCTTGGAGTAGGGCCTTGCACACAGAATGGGGAAAGGGGGCTGTCCCTCAAACTGTGCCCTTACAACATTGCTTTTCTCTCTTTGACCGTGATTCTGATTCTGAGACAAGAAAGGGGCCAGGATGGACATGGCTACCCTCTGGTGAGCTCTGAGGGCCTCATTCCTGGCAGACAGAGCCCTTAAGCGGATATGCACAGACCTGGACAGGCATCCAAAAAACTTCGCGTGGCACTTACTTTTAGGCATGTTTGTTTTGTTGTTTAGCAAAACAGAAAAAATGGCCGTGATAACTATCAAAATGATCCCTGACTCTGAAAGTTCTGATTCTAGAGACAGCTAAGAGAACCGGGTATCTGTCTTGTACACAAACGTGCTGTTGGGGGACAGGAAGAACAAATGCTCTCACCATGCTGTTCCTCTTCTGGGCCAGTGAGGGGAATGTACTCTCAATATTAAGACTTTAGTTACTGCAAAATCAGAGGTTGAGTGAAGGCATCACCCGGTGCCGTGTGAATCTGCTCAGGCCTTTCTTCTTTAAACCTGTGCAACTTTGACTCTGCTGCCCTCATTTCTGTATGGAAATGCCGTGCTCCCAAATAGGTGAGGGCAAGATTAGCTACTGAAAGGAAACAAAAATTAGATAAGAAAATTCTCTGCAGATGGAGGTCAGAGGAGGCTTTGCTCCAAGGAGAGATGG